CAGGATTCTTATGTGAACATTTTAATTTATTTTTTATTGTTTTTATTGCTGTTGCATAAATTATCTGTGTTTTAAATGTTGTCAAAATACTGTGCACTATGTGAGCCCAGCAAAACAAACATAAAGGCTGGATCCAGCCCCTAGCCTGCCAGTTTACAGGCTGTGCCCACCATCTTCAAGGAGCAGTCTGGGAAACCCAGGCAGAGGGCTTAGAGCAAGTCCATTCCTTCCTGCTCCAGGACAGCTCTGTCTTGTGGGGTAATTCCACAACTACCTTACCTCTCTCCCAGGCACCAGGGCAGGACTAGGTGAGGATTATCCCTGACAGGTGAAGATACAGACTTGGAAAAATGAGTAGGTTGCCTGACATCATCTAGTGAGGGTAAAGATAGTCCCCAGGTAGAGTGACAATTTGCAGGCACTTGGCTAGAACCTGGACAAAGCTGGCTGACCTTGGGCATCCTCTTGGACTGGGAATCCAGCAGTTCTAGCAGCCCCGGCCAACTCAGGCTCACCTTATATTCCCCCACAGTGGCGAGAGGAACGCTTCCGGCAGACCAGTGAGAGCACCAACCAGCGGGTGCTGTGGTGGTCCATTCTGCAGACCCTCATCCTCGTGGCCATCGGTGTCTGGCAGATGCGGCACCTCAAGAGCTTCTTTGAAGCCAAGAAGCTTGTGTAGCTGTCCCAGGCATCACAAACCATCCTCCCAGGCTGGGGGAGAAAGGACCTCCTGAAACTGACTTCTTCTGGCAGGAGGACTGGTTCCCAGCCATACATGTTCTGGAAGGGAGAGGGGCTGCAGGCACCCACAGGTACAAGCTGAAGGCAGCAGCTTGGCTGGCTAATACTGAGCAAGTGGTGGGGCAAAAGCCTGCCGTCTCCCTCTGGCCTCTGGGCCCTTTGCAGTAATCACCTAGGGGCTGATAAAGCCCCTCCTATTGGCACCTCAGAATTACAGTGTTACTGATCTGGGATGTGAGGCTGCTGTCAGGGGTGGGGTGGGGAGGGAATGGGCAGGCAAGCTAGTCTTCTGTCTTCCTTTGCAAACTTAGGGTTTTGAGCAGGTTGGGGTATGGTGTCTGTCATACCCACCTGCCACCCTGGGAACCTCAGTGTTCTCTCTTTCAGTCTAGATCTGCTGATCCAGGGTGTGTGTGTCAGTTGGGGGTGGGTGGAGGGGTTTGCAGTGTGGGAATGTGGCCCTGTGGTTGACCCCAGCTTCTTCACATGGTTGTACATTCTGGGGCTTAAAGAACTGGGGCCAGACCAAATAGAGTCCTTGGTGCTGGTTGGGGCGGGCCTGCAGAGTCTTAGTTACTGATTTCATTTTCAATAAATTTAGGTTTGTTACATGGGTTTCCCGATTAAAAAAAAAAAAATGACGTCTTGTCCAGTGCAAGTTACTCAGCCATCAGTGGGCATAACTGCAAGGTGCTTCAGAGAATGTCAGTTCTTCCAAAGAGCAAAGCACTTCACATTGCGAAATGAATTCCCACCAGTCAGCTTAATTTTTTCCTTCTTCTCCAGGCCTTCCCTGCCATGGCAGGGAGTAGTGGGTTTGTTTAAGATCATACAACAAGTAAATTGTGGGGCTGGGGCTCAAATCTACACCTTTTCCTCTGCCAGCTCCCTGGTGAAGTCCCCTCTTTCTAGAGTCAGTCAGCAGAATTGTCATGGGTGCAGCCAGGAAGTCCCTGGTAAAGGAGGTGCATTGATCAGGGGAGTGCTACAGGACAGCCACCCTGGTCTGGCGGGGACAAGGATGTTGATGGGCTTAACCAACAGCAAGTGATTTCAACCAGGACCCTGAAGGAGAGGAAGGATTCTGCTGGAAGGAAATGGTAGGACAGAGGTGGTTGGAGGAATGGAGGCAAACAGCTGGAATGGAGGTAGATGGGTATTTTGTTTCAGCTGGAGAGGGTGTTGTGAGGAAGCTGGAAAGGAAGGTTGGATTCAAGTTAAAAGAGCCTCAGACCTGCCTGCCTTTCAAGAGGTGCTGCAGGCACCCACAGGCACAAGCTGAAGCCAGCAGCTTGGCTGGCTGACAGCAGGTGGTGGAGCAAATGCTGGCCCCCTCCCTCTAGCCTCTGGGCCCTTTGCAGTAATCACCCAGGGGCTGGTAAAGCCACTGAGAGCCCTATTGGCACCTCAGTATCACAGTGTTACTTATCAGTGATGTGAGGCTGCTGTTGAGAGTTGAGGGAGGGGAATGGGCAGGCAGTTTTGAGAAGAACCTTCCGACAAGAAACGTGAGAAAGGTTACAGCAGTGTGAGAAAGACTGTGAACAAGGAGACAAGTTAGGTGGCTGCTTACCCTACTGGGGGGATGTAATCTGGGCCAATGCTGCCAACAAGTTTTTCTTCACACGAAAAAAAAATTTTGGCTGAGCACAGTGGTTGATACCTGTAATCCCAGCAATTTGAGATGCCAAGGCAGGTGGATGGCCCGAGGCCAGGAGTTTTGAGACCAGCCAGGACAACATGGTGAAACCTCATCTCTACTAAAAATACAAAAAATTAGCCAGTTGTGGTGGCGCGTGCCTGTAATCTCAGCTACTCTGGATGCTGAGGTAGGAGAATAGCTTGAACTCGGGAGACAGAGGTTGCAGTGAGCCAAGATAGTGCCACTGCACTCCAGCTTGGGCAACAGTGAGATTCTGTTCCCCCCCCTCAAAAAAAATGGATTTTAAAGAACAGCTTTAAAATCATGAAGACATTTTCTCTATTATTAACATAATGTATAACTTTATCCAGACTTCCTTAGTTTTTTTTTTTTTTTTTTTTTTTTTTTTTTGACATGGAGTCTTGCTTTGTTGCTAGGCTGGAGTGCAATGGAGTGATCTCGGCAACCTCTGCCTCCTGGGTTCAAGCGGTTCTCCTGCCTCAGCCTCCTGAGTAGCTGGGACTACAGGTGTGCGCCACCATGCTCAGCTAATTTTGTTTTGTATTTTTAGTAGAGACAGGATTTCACCATGTTGGCCAGAATGGTCTTGATTTCCTGACCTTGCGATCTGCCCACCTCGGCCTCCCAAAGTGCTGGGATTAGAAGTGTGAGCCCCTGTGACCAGCCCAGGCTTCCTAACTTTTTACCTACTGTCCTTTTTCTGTTCCAGGATTTCACATCACATTTAATCACTGTGTCTCCTTAGGCTCCTTTTGGCTGTGACAGATTTAGACCTTCCTTGTTTTTGATGATTCCTTGACAGCTTCGAGGAGTATAGGTCAGATACTTTGTAGAATTTCTCAGCTAGGATTTGTCTGATGTTTTTCTCATGATTATTAGGGTTGTGGGTTTTTGAAAAGAGACCACGGGCCGGGCACGGTGGCTCACATCTGTAATTCCAGCACTTCGGGAGGCCAAGGCGGGCAGATCACCTGAGGTCAAGGGTTCAAGATCAGCCTGGCCAATATGGTGAAACCCCATCTCTAGTAAAAATACAAAAATTAGCCAGTTGTGGTGGCAGGCCCCTGTAATCCCAGCTACTCAGGAGGCTGACGCAGGAGAATTGCTTGACCCCAGGAGGTGGAGGTTGCAGTGGGCCAAGATTGCGCCACTGCACTCCAGCCTGAGCAGCAGAGCAAGACTGTGTCAAAAGAAAAGAGACCACAGAGTTGTTCCATTCTCATCCTGTTATGTTACTTAAACATGGCTTATGGCTGAATATCACATTTAAAAATTAGATAATTTGGATTTTTATGTGAGATCTGATTTCTTGAGACAGTGAATCTGACAATCTGAAGTAGGGCTTCATCCTGATATAGTAACAGCTAACCGGATGGAGTGGTGGCTGTCCTCTTTAGATGGGCTGTGGATTGGCCAAGGTTCTGGTGTAGAGTGCAGTGCCCTGGGGGAGTTAACAGGAAGGGGAATGGGTGGATTATATACTTCCAGGTTTAAGGGGTAAAGGTGTTACTGGGAATTATTCATTTTCCACTCATAGTGAATTTCTCTCTGAAGCAGAGTGATTAAGATAGATTGTGGGGAAACAAAAAACAAAAACTCAAAACCCTAGATTGTGCAACTAAACGACCTGATTTGCCTCTATTTAAAGTGGGAATAAGTACCTACCAATAAGTACTACACGAGATAACCCTCATGTAATAAGAATTGTTAACAATGGCACATAATAAGAACTTAACGTGTTTGCTATTAGGAAACTTAAAAGTTTACTTGGAAGAGCAGAGGAGCTAAAGTCTAACAACTGCCACTTTCTTTTTCCTGGTAGGAGGCTAGCAGGAGGGATGTGGTGGAGGTGAGGGGGATGGTTACATTCCCACGGTAACGGGGCAGATATGGGAACTCAGTCTCCTATTCCTTTCTTCAGTTCTCAGCTCCACCAAAGTACCCTTTTCCGGGATGACAGCTGTCATTTACGGCGTTGAACTGTATGCCTAGCGCTGTACAAGTGTTTGCACTTTCTCCTTGAATCCCCACAGCTACCATATAGAATAGAAGCCACTGATAATACCCATGTGAGGAAACAGATCCAGAGATGGGGCTTGCCTCAAAACACAGCTGTATGGGCAGAGTCGGGTTTCAAATTCAGTCGACTTGTTTTCAGAGCTCGGCGTTCTTGTCTTCAGAGCTCGGCTCCTAACGCCTGCTTGGGCTGTCTGCTGAACTCAGCGTGGAGCTCTGAGCTTGGATTTGCCCCTCCAAGCTGTGTAGAGAACGCGCCACCTGGGCCGAGCAGGGGATCCCGGAACGCTCCCGCCTCCCCTCCGGAAGAGGACAGAGATGCAGATTCTCCCCGAGCGCTGGTTTGGAAGTCTGGACACTTAGGTCCAGTGCGAGCCCAGTGACTTGTTGGGAGGCCCTAGGCCTCTGGGCTTCAGTTTCTCGGGCTGTCAGCCGGGTCCCGGGGCGGATAGAAAGGAGCTGCTCGGCGCTGGAGGCGCGCCCTCCCTGCTCGCAAGCAGAACCTTGCAGGCGGCGGCTCCGGGAGCTGGCGGTGCGGCCGGAGCAGCGGACCCGGCGGACCGGGGGGCGGGGCGGACAGGCCTGGGCGGGGCGGGAGGCGGAGGCGCCGCGTAGGCCCGGGAGGCCGGGCCGGCAGGGCTGCGAGCCCTTGCCTCATGCGCCGCCGCCTCCCTGCACGATGTTCCCCTCGCGGAGGAAAGCGGCGCAGCTGCCCTGGGAGGACGGCAGGTGAGCGGCTGCGGCCGGCCCGAGCCCGGTCCTCCCGGGCATCGCTCCTTTTCGGGCCGCCAGTAGAATCTGGGAGCCCGAGGCCGTCGCGTCTCCGTGTCTGTGGGTCCCTGTGGGTCCCTATGAGGGCGTGTGGTTCTCCTTGTGGGTCCCTGGCGCTCTGTTCCGGTTTCTATCTGTCCGTGTGGGTCTGTCTCTCCCGCCCTCCGCCACTCCCCGCTCTCTCTCTCTCCGGTTTCCGAGACGGTCGTTCTCCCCCATCCTTCCCCCTCGCCCCTTGAGTCTATTTTTCCATTGACCATTGACCTCCCTTTGCTAGTCTCTCTCATTATGTGTGTCGTTGTGTCTGTGTTTCTCCACCAGCCTCCCTCTATCTGCATGCGGGTCTCTGACTCCGCTGACCTCTCGCCATGGATTTGTGTTTCTCATCTGTCTCTGATCTCTGAGGGCGTTTTTTCATTTCTCTGGTCTCTGCCTCCCTTATCACATCCATATAACCTCCGACCCTACCCTCCCTTCTTAACGCTTCCCCTCCCCCACCCCCACCCCCACCATCCTTCGCAGGCTACCCAGCAGAATCCACCAGACAGAAGCTCCGTTCGCTGCCTGGCTGGTCACTGCCTGGCACGTACCAGACACTCCTCATACACCCATTAGTCCATTTCCTGTGCAGCTGTACTTGCCCTACGCGGAAGATGTGAGCTTGGCCCACACCTTAGCTAATGATGTTTTTCACTAAAGCAGAATGGGAGAAGCGATTTGACTGCCTCCATTTGGGGGCACTTGAGATGCTGGAGATATGCCCCTAAAAGTCTTCTTACAGAACACATGACTGGATCTGCTCCCAGTGAATGGCTCCTCATTTCCTTCATGTTTCTTAAGTTTGCCAGGTGCCATGAGATTCTGGAATTTAGTGGGCACAAATTCTTACTTTTGGGGATTTTTCAGACTTGGTGTTGAAAGGACAAGAGAGGGATATAACAGAAAGCATGGATTAGAGTTTGACCTGGGCAGGAGTTCTCCTTAATAATGTGAGCAGAGGGCCGGGTGCGGTAGCTCACACCTGTAATACCAGCACTTTGGGAGGCCAAGGTGGGCGGATCACCTAAGGTCAGGAGATTGAGACCCATCCCGGCCGACATGGTGAAACTCTGTCTCTAAAAAAAAAAAGGGGGGGCAGAGACCATTGCATCTTTCTGACTACAGCCTTTCCATTGCTGAGACACTTATCACAATATTGACTCTGCAGCTGTGTGAGGATTAAAGGAGAGCATACATGTAAATACCTTGGCACTGCCTGGCAGAAGAGGAGGTGCCAGTTGTCTTCCAGTTACCTTTGCAATTTTGAGGCTCTGTAACTAGAGCAGCTGAGGATTCAAACCTTGTGGTACAAAGGTTTGTATGAGACAAGAAAGGAAAAGTAATAGAGGAGCACTTCTGTTTCCTGGTCCCTTTCTGTAACAGTGTTCCCACAGAAATTTACTGATGTCAATTCTGTGCTTTTGACACAGTGCTGCAATGATCCACGCCACAGATGCAGGCTAGTGCAGCTATTGAGTGTGGGCTCTGGATCCAGCCTGTCTGGGTTTGAATCCGCCTCTTACTAGCCTTGGTCAATGATTGATGAGTGCTGGGCCTGGGAGCTTCTGGGACTGCAGAGCTGGAGTTTGCCACCAGAGGGCACAAGGAGCAGCTCTTCTCAGCGTCCACTGTCCTGAGGAATTGGGACTCTGGGTTCAATTGAATTGCTCAGTGGTTTGTGCTCTTAGAGCACAGGATGATGCCCATGGGGACGTGCTCCTCGTAGGAGAGGGGAGCAGGGCCAAGGGAATAGCATGTGAAAGTGCTCAGAGTGCCCAATCCATGCCGTTCCCCTGGGTAATAGTCACTGCTTCTTTTCCTGAAGGTGGGATATCACCCCATATCCATCTCTCCAGTCTCTACCCTGTCCCCAGAAAAAGCCCAGAGGGCAAGGGAGAATCTATAGAGGTTCCAGCCTTCCCAGGCCACTCTCAGGACTGGGCTGTGCTCCTCTCCAGCCGAAACCACCACCACAGGATAATGGGGGGTAAGTCAGAAGCCCTGGGGCGGGGTGTCTTACCAGGCCACCTCTCAGCTGTGTGTGGAACCTGGGACTGGCTTCAAGGCTTCCAGATTGGCAGTTGTTCCTCTAGAAAAAGGGAGAAGTTAGTCTGGCTCTAGCATGTGACTTAAAGCATGCCCAACGGCTTTAACCCTTCCTGTAACTCACTTTGTAAGCTCTCTGCTGCCCGGCCTGTTCTTGCTGTGCTGGGGCCACAGATATGAATATGACATGGCCTGACAAGCAAGGACACAAGGCATGAAAAAGCAGGAAGTAAGATGCTGCGGGAATACAAAAGTGGATGCATTATGCAGGCAGGTGGCAGTGCTGGCCATGACATTGGAGTTTGGCCCTGAAGGATCAACAGGGGGCCTCAGGCAGTTAAAGAAGGACATTTCAGGCAGAAGGAGCGGGCTGTGTGAGGGCTGGAGCAGGAAGGAATATGACAAGTGGAAAAGCTCTGAGGTGCCCAGGATAAGAACATGGGGCAAAGTTTGGAAGCACCTGGAGTTGGGGCCAGGTGACAGAGGGCTTTGACTGTCAGGCCAAGAGCTTGGCCTTTGTCTTGCAAACAGAGGAGGGGAGGGTCATTCAGAAGATTGAAAAGTGGTCCCAGCAGGGCAAGGAGCAGATGAGTGAGGAAGGATCAGAGGGGGACTTAGGAGATAGAATTTATAAGGCCTGATAGCTAATTGCTGACTTTTACAAGTTGTGGATTCCTTTGCAGATTATTCTGGGGAGAAGGTAGGGGCATAGAGGAAGCTTCCCCCTTGGTGGATTCTTGAGCTCCTCTTTCAGCATACTTATGAATTTCCAGAGGAGGGGCAAAGGAAGCTGGTGAATTCTACCTGTTTCTTTGTATTTGCTAACCAAAAGGGCTGTCTCCTTGCATCACCCCAATGTCTAAGACATTTCATTTGTTTTTCCAAGTTTCTGAAATCAGTGCCTGTGCTGTGCCCAGCCCTCATCTTTCTTTCCCTCTCTGTCTCCCATCTTTGATCACATGAGCTCCCTCTTGGACTAAAGGTTTGAGGCTCGTTCAGTGAACTACCACTGACATTTGGGCCTTGCATTGCTTTGGGGGCAGGTCGGATCTTCCCAGAGTCAACATTGGTCATTTCACCTGGACTAATGCCAGCACACACCCATGTCTGGGTGGCCTTCCTGATCATTCTGGGAAGTAGGACGGAGTCATGGCTTCTGCTGGGGCGGATTTGTAGGGGAATGGCTTTGGAAGGCAGTGGGCTGCATCTTTAAGGTGGGGCTTCTGTCATTGGCTCAGGACATTGAGCCACTGTCATGGGGAGGAGCACATGCAAGTGACAGGAACCTCCTCATTCTTGCCCTGAGCAGCTCTGACCAGAACTCCATCACAGAAAGTAAGAGAGCATCGAGGAGCTAGGGCAGCTCTGTGACCTGGGAATGGTTCAGATGGCTTCCCAGGAGTGGGTGGCATGGATTGGGTGTAAAGAGGTAAGCAGGATTCCAATGCATGGTAGTGGCATGAGCAAAAACATTAAAGTTGCTTTTGCACTAATTCCCAGGGGCTTGGGGTAGACCAGTTATGTGCAGCCTCCTCGTGGGAGGCTAGGGAGGGGGTCTGTCAGAGGGCCCCAGCACAGCCCAGCCCTGCCTTGCCCCTCTGACCCTGTCCCTACTCTTGTCCCAGGTCCCGGCGGCTCTCTGGCGGCCTCCCTCGAAAATGCTCCGTCTTCCACCTCTTCGTGGCCTGTCTCTTACTGGGCTTCTTCTCCCTACTCTGGCTGCAGCTCAGCTGCTCTGGTGACGTGGCCCGGGCAGCCAGGGGACAAGGGCAGGAGACCTCCGGTCCTCCCCGAGCCTGCCCCCCAGAGCCGCCCCCTGAGCACTGGGAAGAAGATGCATCATGGGGCCCCCACCGCCTGGCAGTGCTAGTGCCCTTCCGTGAACGCTTCGAGGAGCTCCTGGTCTTTGTGCCCCACATGCACCGCTTCCTGAGCAGGAAGAAGGTCCAGCACCACATCTACGTGCTCAACCAGGTGGACCACTTCAGGTAGCGCCTGCCCCCACCTCCTCCCCTCCCGGCACCCCTTTCCTGGGCTCAGGCTTCTCAGGGCCTGTGAGAGGCCACCTGGGGCTGGGGGCAGGAGGGCGGAGGGTGGCAGGCCCCTCTCATTGAGTGTGACGGGAATCTTTGGAGAGGGCCCTGATCTAACTGCCATTTTGAAGAGCTCACTGTGGCTGCTGTGTGTGGAATCGATTATACCAGGGTAAGAGGAGAAGCATGGAGACCAGTTAGGTGGTTACTGCTGTGGTCTGAGATGACAGTGGCTTGATGGTGTGGTGCTGGGGGCGGTGGGT